TTATTCCTACACACATGTATATTCAAGACTGCAGTGGCGCTTCGCGCCATGCACCTTGGTCCTTGAAGTTTGGTAGGCAGGCGGAAATGGCAGGAAGGTCAAGCCGACAATTTAGCGATAACTCCTTGCTGCATTTTCTGGCATCGCCGTTATAATAATGTTGTTCGTTATCCTTCCTCCATGCTTATTTTTCCTCATTCTCGCCATACCCTGGGAATTCTCCCCATCCTCCTCAGCTCTTGTTGCGGAGGCTCCTCCTTGGAGAGCCTCTGGGGGCCTCACCAGAGTTCTCAGGCTTTCTTAAAGCCTTCTGGAGGCCTCCTGGGTGTGTTCTGGGGGCCTCTGGGGCCTCCTAAGGCCAACCTGCCTTTAACCGCGGTCTCCCTGAACGCCCCAGTCACGATTTGGAATGCTTCGGAGGGTGTCTTGGGGCCATCTTGGGCCGCCATGGTGCTCTCGTAGGGCCATTTTGGACCCCTGTTGGGCCGTTTTGGGGCTCTCTTGGACTGCCTGGAAGCCCTTTCGGATGGTTGTGGGGCGATTTAGGAACCTCCCAGGCGGCTTCGGACGCCTAGGAGACCGCCGTCTTGGAGCGTTGGGAAGCCGAAAAGAGGAGAACCCCAAATGCACCAAAAACCTACATATAATCAATGATTTTTCCCTCTTGGGGCCTTCTTGGGGGTGCTCGCCTCTTTGTACGTGTCGGAGCGATCTTTCGGGGTATGACGGCTTCTTGGAGCGCTCTTGTGCTGTCTTGGGGGTCTTTGGGACGTCTCCGGTGATCCCCTGATCCCTGATCGCCCTGGGTGTGTTGCGAAGGCTTGGCAAAACGCCCTGCGAGGCCCAGGGGGCCGCTTCGAGGCCCGTCCGGAGGGTCCCAAAGCTGCAGATCCCGGGAGTCCGGTTTTGGGGGGGGGGGGGTGGTGACGGGTTTGCCCCCCGCCCGGGGGGTTATAAAGATATAGGGAGAGGAATATGTCTTAAGGGCTTCGCCCTCGGTCGCCGGCCCCCCGTTCACCAGTGGTGGCGGCTGCGCGGGGGTCTCCTTGGGGCCTCTTAGGGGTC